GCTGCTGCTGCTGTTGTTGCTGCTGTTGCTGCTGCTGCTGCTGCTGCTGCTGTTGCTGCTGCTGCTGCTGCTGCTGCATTGCTACTCAAACCCCAGGGGCCCCCAAATGGGGCCCCCCCGCGCAGCACCGCCTGCAGTCCCTGGGGGCCCCCTAAACCCTAAACCCTAAACCCTATACAGGGGGGCCCCCTAAACCCTAAACCCTATACAGAGGGGCCCCCTAAACCCTAAACCCTTCATAGGGGGGCCCCCAAGAAACATGGGGGCCCCCTAAACCCCCACCGCCTCCTCGCCTTCCCCCCCCCTTCACTGCCTGTACCCTCCTGGGGGCCCCCAGGGGGCCCCCCAAAGGGTACGGCTGGGCCCCCCAAGGGGCCCCCCAAAGGGTACGCCTGGGGGCCCCGAGGGGGCCCCCCAGGGGGCCCCCAAAGGGTACGCCTGGGGGCCCCTGGGGGCCCCCAAAAGGGGACAGGTGGGGGCCCCCCGGGGGCCCCCAAGAGGGTACTGGCGGGGCCCCTGGGGGCCCCCGTGGGCCCCTGGGGGCCCCCTTTTGATGGGTTGAGTGGTGCTGATAGGGGGAGAGAGAAAAGGGTTGCAGCGAATAGCTTCGCTGCCTGTAAGGGTTTAGGGTTTAGGGTTTAGGGTTTAGGGTTTGGGGGGGAGATATAATAAAGAGACAAGAGAAGAGACAAACAAACAAAGAAAAACAACAGTCAATGTGCATGCAAAAGAAAGACAAAAGAAAATAATAAAGAAACAAAATAAACATATATATACATACACACTGCATGCATGCATGCATGCATGCAGGATCAAGCCCCAATATATATACACGCATGCATGCATGCATGCATGCAGACTGCATGCATGCATGCATGCATGGTCAAGCCCCAATATATATACTCGCATGCACGCATGCATGCATGCATGCAGGGTCAAGCCCCAATATATATACTCGCATGCATGCATGCATGCATGCATGCGTGCAGGGTCAAGCCCCAATATATATACATGCATGGATGCATGCATGCATGCAGACTGCATGCATGCATGCATGCATGCAGACTGCATGCATGCATGCATGCATGCATGCGTTTTTGGGGCTTGGCAGCTGTTCTACCATTGGCAATGCATGCAGCTGCTGCAACTTGATAACCAAACCAAAAAAAAAGAAACAAAAAGACATAAGACTCATATTGCTGTTCCTGCTGCTGCTGCTGCTGCTGCTGTTGCTGTTGCTGTTGCTGCTGCTGCTGCTGCTGCTGCTGTTGCTCTAACCTGCTGCGGCCCGCTGTGGGGAGAAGAGAAAACAAACAAAGAAAAGCAGCCAAGAAGAAGACAACTCTGCT